TAGCCATTCTGACTGGTGTGAGGTGGTATCTCATTGAGGTTTTGATTTGGATTTCCCTGATGCCGAGCGATATTGAGCACTTTTTCATGTGTCTGTTCAGGCCCATAGAATTTTACTGGCAAGTTCTAGCAACATATAAGGAACAAATTAATAGTAACAATTTTATACGAACTCTAGAAGAGGGAACAGTCACCAAACCTTGTTATGAGGGTAGCATAATAATAATCCTAAAACTTGTAATGGGCTATAATTTATCTCAATTAAATGAATAGAAAAATCTTAAAATACTAGCAAGTTGAATTCAGCAGTGTATAAAAAAAGATAACATTATGACCAGTTGGATTTATTCCAGGAGTTTAAGGCTGGCTTCAGTTGAGGAAAAAATATATTTATAATGTTCTGTAATAACAGATTAAAGGATAAAACTATGATTATCTCAATAAATGCAGAAAAAGCCTTTGTTAAAATTAAATATTCATTCTTTTTAGAAAAGCTTAGTGAATTAGGAATAGAAGATAGCGTGATAAAAGGAATTTACTGTAGGAAACATACTTCATGGTAAAAAATTGAAAGCATTTCCTTTATGATTAGGAGCAAGTCAAGAGAGCCTGTCATCATCACTTCTGTTCAACATTTTACTGTTAATGATGCATAAATCAAGAAAAACGATAAGATGTAGAAGGATTTGAAAGAAGAAATTAAACAGTCATTATACATATAATATGGTAATCTACATAGAAAGCAAACAAAGTCTGTAGCTAATCTCTCGGGGTTAATAAGGGTTTAAGGGCTGCTGGATATAAAGTCAGTGTACAAAAACCAACTATTTCTGTGTACCCATCACACTTTGAAAATGCAACTTTAAAAAGATACTATTTACAGTAGTATCAAAAATATACAGTAACTGACAAACACAAGTTGTACAACACATTTTTAATGAAAATTGTAAAACTACTGAAAACTATGCTTAAATTCCATGCCAATAAAAAATATTGACAGGCTTTTTTGTTGTATTTTTTTTCTAAAATTTTTATGGAAGAATAAAAGTTTATATGTAGGCAAGACACTCTTGAAAAACAAAACATAAAAAAAGAAGAAAAACAAGACATGTATTGGGGGAGGGAGTATTTGCCTTAATTTATATCAAAACTTATAAAGCCATAGTTACTAAAACAGTATGCTATTGGCACAGGGATGGATTAGCAAATTTAGCAGGATAGACTCCAGAAACAGACCTAGGCATACTTTGGAAACTTGATGTATGACAGAATTGGCTCTTCTTTGTAGATTATTGGAGAAAGGATGGACTTTTCAATACATGATACTTGGACAGTTGGTTCTATAGGAGAGGGAATAAATTTTGTTTTTTACTTGATACCATTTACAATAATATCTTCTGTGGATTAACAACTTGAATTTATTCATATAACAAATAATTTACTGAGAACGTGTTCTATGGTTCTTTTTACCTCATCTATGTATTTTAAAGATACCTTTTTTTAATCTACCCAATTATTAACAAAAGCACCAAAAAAAAAGGCCAGAAGAATAGGGAAAAAACCGGGATAATGTAAGGTATTGGTACTAGTCTTTCCCACCTGAACACACCTGAAGTATACAAAACACTGCAGACTAGTAGTCGTTCATTGTGGCAGTATAATTCAACTGGAAGGCCTACATTCTGAAATAAGAATTGGGGGAAATTGGTGGGTGTTGAATATAATTTTTAAAAGCCCCTCCTCACGTTTCTCTCCCACTATCTGGAAAATCATTTGTGTCAAGTCGTCAAAACCAAAGGAAGAGAAGGTTGCAAAAGAGAATTATTTGTAAATATGTTATAAAATGATCCAGGAGAAAAGGAGGACATAAAGAATTTAATCAAAGAAAGCGATCTGTAAATTTAGTGAAATCAGCATTTCCATTCACTGGGGACAGCAAGTATAATTTGAAGTAAAAGAATGTGGTTATTCCAGAGTTTGCTGGGGAAAGGTAAAGAAGAAAAGGGAAAAGACTAGTGGAAAAGGAGGAGGTAGAGGGTTGCTGCCAAAGAGGATGGAGGTAGGTCCCAGAGGGGTTAGGATCAGTAGTTAAGAACATTTTAAGATTGAGTTAATTTATTCTCAGTGAAGTGGGGAGATGGGACCTGCTGAGGTAAGTATGTGATCAGGATTTAATGAGCTAAATCATTGTGGATTATGAACATTAGGGCATAGTTGAAGGAAGCATGACTTTATTGGGAATTGAGTTGTTTTTTTTTTTTTTTTGGGGAATTGAGTTGTTTTGTTTTTATTAACTTCTCCAAGTATTTCTCAGCATCTTGGTAGCAGATAAACAATGGTGGTGCGGAACCAGCATTGAGGATAAGGCTGACTGATACAAGTCTAAGGGGTTCTAAGATTCAACAGAAGACATTGTTAAAATGGGGAGCCATGGTCCAGGCCATTTAGGAAGTCAAATATTGCCAAGTGGGGGATAATTAAGTGGGAGTGCAGAAGGGAATTAAAGAATTGAGAGGATACATTGAGGGTAAAGATCACATGTGAATATGGGTCAGGAGGAAGCTATGACTTCTATGGTCACAAAGGCAGAGCACTGAATATAGAAGCTGAGATAAAGTTTTGAGGCTACTGATAATCAGTGGGCCTCATGAGAATTTAAAGGCAGTGCAATTGTCAGATGAAAGAAAGGTAATCGATGATGTCAGTGCATTCAAATTAGGAACAGTAACCCAGAAGTAGTCTTAATGTTTGAATTAGAATATTTGTAAATAATTTCTAGCCTGAAACCAGGAAAACTTCCCAGCTTGGTGAAATGTGGGAGATGGTTTCTGCAGGGTGTTACACAGGGACGGGGATTTTCTGGGCATCCACTGCTGCTTGGATCGTATTTAGATGTAGTAGAAGAGTTCTTATAGGTATGTCTGATGAAAGGGTGGTTAATTGGGATGTAGAAAAATGGAATCTCTAGATAAGCTCTCTGTTTTAGAGCTTTCAAGTACAGGATGAGTAACATAATGCTTGACCTGTTCTGAGCATTTATAAATACAATATTTGGGTTAGCATATTAATTAGACTATAATATTTTTGAGATTGTAGTTTAATTGTCAAAGGCCACGAAAGATTCGCTACTGAGAATTCTTCTACATATGAAGGTCATATACTGTGACCTTAGTGAAGTTAATGTCTTCTTATTTTTAGTCCTATCATGATACCTTAGTCTTCAAAACTCTTAGTTATTTTGAGA